CCCCAAAACCCCAAAACCCCGAAAAACCGAGGTTGTAAAATAGGATGAAAATGTATTTCTAGTGGACTGAATTAATACATACTATTATTATATAATAATGGAGAATTTTGACTACAAAAAATCTAAGCAAAGAGCAAAGCAGCTTTACAAACAAGGCAAATACAAGGAATTCCTTGAGTTCATTACTAATGATACCTAAAAAGGAGCAAAATCATCTGATAATCTATTATTATACGGAGATACTTTAATTCTTATAGCCAGAGTTTAGATAGAATATGGTTTATTTCCAGATGCAGAAAAAATGTTAGCACAATTGAACTAATACTTATTATCAAACCAAGACACTATGAATAAGCAAGATAAATTGGGGTATTTCTAGCTTCAATTTAAGTTCTATCACGTGCAGTCTAAACTTTTTATCAGAAGTAACTATCTCCAGAAAGGCTTTGATTTTATCAAAAAAAGTATTGCAGCAATCGAGAAATAATAAGATAAGGAATTGGAAAAGATTAAGTATAAGTATCTGTGTAAGCTCTATGAATAATTAGGGCATCTTTATTGCGAGCCATATTGCTTCGCTGAGGGAGAGAAAGAATTGAATAAAGCTGAGAAGATATATTTAGAGCATAAGGATTTATTTAACAAGGTATCATACAGGAAATTCCTGATAAAAAAGTCATCATATATGAAAAAATCAGGATTCTTTGTAGAGGCAATGTAAATTCTTACTGACCTTGAGAAAGAGCTGATAGAAGAGTTAAAAAAGCCAAGCCTTGAGCATGAAGAAGCTAAGTAATTGAAAAAGCAATTGTTTAAGGCATTGAGAGATTAGTCTAGACTCCATGGACTTAGAAGATAAGATAATTATGCAAAGGAAATTCATGCTAGAGCTGAGAAATTGTTGAAAGAAGAAGTTTATCAAGGTATAACTAACAATATTAAGATAGCTAAGCTTCAATTAATCAAAAGTCTTTGGATGGCTAAATTTAGCTTTGAACAATCGAATGATGAGCTCCTAGAAGCATTTAGTCTTTTCATTGAGTTATCTGGGAGTCAAACAAACTATTTCGGGGCTAATTGCTTTTTTGAAATTGGAAGCAACTATCTCAGATTGAATCAAGCTCAGACTGCTAATGGCTTTGTTTATAAGGCCTATGAAATATACAAAGAGTTATTTGGAGAGAGACATCCAATGATGTAAAAATACTACTCTTACTCTAGTGAAGTTGCTTCTAGTTTAGACACAGTTGAATCAAAGACTGAATTGAAATCTGACGAAGCAGTAATAATGTTATCTCTATAGATGGTTAACTTATCAGAAGAGGTTAATAATATATGTGAAGACGGAGAACCATCAATTTTCGTGCTTGACCCTCTCGTTTCATATATCAGTTTATTAGCCTCTAATAAAGATAGACTTGCTGAAGCTGAGGAGAAAATTGCTGAGGCAGAGCATATCTTTGGTATTCGTGGTTTAGCAGCTGGAACTCAGCTACTTCATTCAGTGAGAACTGTTCAGAGTTTGATCCTTATTAAAAGTGAGAAGCTCAAGGATGCCATGGACCTATTAGAATAATCTTATGAGAGTTAAGTAAAGGTTTTAAAGAACAATCGCGCTCATCCATTCTTGGAACATAGTATTTCTTAGCTCGCATTACTCTTTAGAGTTAACAAGAAGTTCAATGAGGCAGAAGAAATGTATCTTAATCAAATAAAGATTAAGGAACTTTATTATGGCTCAAATTCTGAATAGCTTATCATACCTCTCAGAAACCTAGGGTAGACTTATATCTATTAAGAAAATGATGAACAAGCAAAAGAGGTACTTTAAAGAGCAGTCAACATTGGAAGAGAAGCAATTAAAAGGGATTCCAAATTAAAAACTAAAATTGGTGACCAGGTGATGGAGATATACTCCCTCTTTTACAGTATTTTTGAAGAGAAAAAACAATATGACCAAGTTAGATTCATATCAACTGATTTACTCGATTTTACTGAGGAAGTCTTTGGTGAGAAATCATTACAGTACTCTTAGGCTGCTTTCAATCGTGCTAGAGTTATTATGATGGAAGAAGGAGGAGATATGAATGAGAGCAAACGCTATATCTTGAAGGCAGTTGAAATCGAAGAACATTTGTAAGAAAATAAAACTGCTAAATCCGTTGTTTTGGGAAGATATCTTTACTGTGCTGGAACTATTTTCAGCGGCTTGAATGATAGCAAAACAGCAAAAACCTATTTCAAAAGAGCCTATGATATTGTGAAAATCATTCCAGGGCTAGAGGCATTAACCAAAGAGCTCGAATAACATATTGAGTTATGCGATGAAAAGAATGAAAACTCATAGGAGCATAACGATGGAAACAGCTTAGGTGTTTCAGATGTCAAATAATCTAGAGTCGAATAAAAAAATAAGAATCAAATGACTGATTTAATTATAGCTGGGGCAGCTATCTCAGTTGTTATTGGAACCTTGACATTCGCTTATTTGAAATTTAAGGGAAAATGAGAGATTAGGAAAGCATGTCTATATTTCGAGACCTCGATTTATATAGAGGTCTGATCTGGATCGCCTTTGTGCTTCCATATTTAAACTTAATGGTTAATTTCAATTTACTATCTGAATTATATAATAATATTTAAGCTTTATTGCCATTATCTATGAAGTCTAGATTTGCCCACCTCAAAATAGATGCCTACCAATCAAGGCATAGAATGAGAAAAGATTCAAGCAAGTTTAGTTCATGCCTTACTCTAATTCAATCAGATATGAGTGATTAGGAAATAAGAATTCATCAATACTTAGACTAATTGAATATATATTAGCAAGAGATTAAGGAAGCTTTACATGACTAATCTTTAGGAAGTTTTGACTCTCCAAAGCTAGCCCATGAATTTCACAAGCGCTACACAATTAATAGAAGAAGTTATGCATAGTCTGGACATAAATCTTCTTTTCATGAAAAAATAGAGAAGATTGGGTATGAATCATGTGAAGAAGGGGGTTCATTGAGTGAATAACCCAATACCCCTGATCTCTTGGCCATTGATATGAATGATCATCCATAGAGTGAGTATAAATTCAAGAGGGGAGCCAAAAAAAGTTAATTCTATCTAAATCAAGATGATATTTAAGATGAAAATGACAATAATCAAACTTAGGCAGAGTGAAAAAGTGCTAAATGAAGCATTATTATTTTATTTCAGCCATATGTATATATCAGTCCCCTCCTGTTCTCAGAGAAATGAGGTTTATATATCACAATCTAATATCTAATTCAACTTTCCATAAATATAACCTTTCAATTTAAAATTGGCAATCAAGCAAAATTCTTAATTTTTGAGATATGGGGTTTTGGGGTTTTGGGGTTTTGGGGTTTTGGGGTTTTGGGG